TGAAGTCCTTGCATTTTACTCAGTGACTACTTGTTCTTCTGTTGATTTGTTGAGTACTTCCACTGTCTCTCATTTCGAATTCCTTAAACTCGTCTCATTGACCATACAAACCCTAGCAGTTCAGTCCTCAAGAGACCAACTTAAAAGTTTCTTTAGCAATGGATGTGATCCTTCCATCCTGGCATGACTGCATTCTAAAGATTATTTCTCAAAATGGTCTAGAAAAATACGAAATCGCTATCCGGGGACAAACAATGTGTTTATTCCCGTTTACTACATAGGTAGTAATTGTAACACTTGGATGGATGGGCATCTGAATGGCCGGTAAAACTGGATGACCGAGCATCTATAAAATAAATGCATTGTTTGGAAATAAAAAAGACCCAGGAAATTCGTACCAACATGTTTCGCAGTCACGTTACTTTGCAGTTGCTCTTTTGAATGATATAATCGTATAAACTACGTTTACAGACGGTTACTTTAGAACTGCATCTGCAACATACCTTTGGACTATTAACTAAAATGCCGCACTTTGGAATGGTAAATTCTGTTCTAACGAGTACTTCGAAAAGTTCGCCATTTACGATATGTAGTAGAAAATACATTACCCACATTCTGACGCGCAAAAACAGTGTCAACTTTTAAGAAACAAACTGGATGCTTATGTTTTTTTAATAACTGCAAATGTTAACGTCCTTTGTAGGAATCCCGCTTAATAATTTCACCGACTGAAGCCACTGATGCCGGCCGTTATTCGTGCCACGCTGCCAATTCCGCCGGCGAGGAGATCGCGATCATGAACGCCAAATTCGTGGCCAGACCTGAAATAGTTCGTGTAGAATCGCAGCGTGAGATGCCACAAGAAGGCGAGTCACAGGTGTTGCGCTGCCTCGCAACAGGTCAACCCCCGCCCACCATCAAGTGGGAATTCAATGGCAGTCCGGTTAGTTGGCTTAATAAATAAAACATTATTACTTTTAATAAATTAGTAGACATTTTTTATCTTAATTTCACAGCCGTAACTTTCAACCCACAAAGCTGCGGCAGTTTTAGTGGTTTTACCCTTCTGAAACAGCAATCAGCTGTTTATACTGACCCTTTTATAATATTGTAGGTCAGCCAGAGCGCTAACATTCGTGTGAACGAGACGACGGGTGAACTTATGATTATGCAGGTGAAGAGGACTATGACTGGCAAGTGGACTTGTGTGGCCGAGAACGTCGCTGGCACCACGCGTTCCTCGATTTCATTGGACGTTGGCTGTGAGTTTGCTGCTGAAAAAATAGACAACAGTGTCCCGGTGATGGAAGGCTACCTTTCCGCTACGACATTTTCTGCTCCTCTCACCCTCTACTTCTTTATTCATTGCAGACAAACCGAAGATGGATGTGGGCTCGATGCACGACAGGGTTCTGGGTGAATTCGCCGCGGATCTGCTCATCCCCTGCTACGTTGAGGGCCAACCCGTGCCACAAATCAAGTGGTATAAGATGGTGGGATCCACTCAGGTGCCCGTCAGCTACGGCGATCGTTACACTCTAGATCCAGACAATTCCCTGCACATTCGAAGTGAGCCTGGCATCATTTTCAAGCTGAAAAGACATATTTATCGGAGCAATGTTGTTGTTGCATAAACCATATCTTCTGACGAACTTTAACTTTTGTATTTTTCATTTAGATGTCGACATGGAGGATGGCACAACATTTATTTGCGAGGCCTCAAACACCTATGGCAGAGATCAGCATCACGTTACGGTCGAACTTGGTGGTATAAGTAAGTGTCTTCCTCAACTATCTTGAAGCTCAGTCGGTCGGTTCTCAATGGTTTTGTATACGTGGAAAACCATATCACCTTAAATTGTACCCGCTATCAAGCAGGAGGTCGGAAATCGAAAACCTACATAGCAAGAAAACGTGACGCAAACAAAGGAGTTAAATTAGGCTCCCTCCGCTTTCATTTCTTGCTAGTTCAATTTGCTGGGCCTTTGAGGGTTTTCGGCCTAAACTGCCTAGAAGGAATACAAAACGCGTTCGTTAAAAGCTAAGTTCGCGTAGAAGAAGCTAAGATTTATCAAGTCCATTTATTTTAGCACGGATTTGACTCTTTAACATCAGTTTTAAAGCAAATACCTTGTACTAAGATTGCATAAGGTCGAATATTTCACTAAGGACTTATTAGGTGCTTATTGTTAAACTGAAGAGCTCTGCAAATATTCTCATCATAACTCAGCCAACATGCTCATCTTTACTTTCAGATGCGGTAAAATAGTACATTTAGCAAACTGCTGTCTAGGTCATTCAGTTATTTTGGGACACCCTTTGTGTTTACTGGGTATGAAAAATTGGAAGGTACACATTTTCACTGATATATTAATTTTGAATTTCTAAGCTTGGCGCATGCAACCGTCTTAGAAGTTTGCGCAACTGCAAAATAGTATACAAATCTATGCTTATTGATGGTGTTTTTATCATTCGACTGTCCCCAGAAAATCGGCAGTATCACTTCAGTGATTATTAGTTTATTTCAACCGCAAGGCGAGCTCAACTGC